CTCCTCATTGTTTGAATGGACTATGGAGAAATGACGTTTAAGTGGATTTAAGGTAGGTTCAGAGGACAATAACTTAACATCTGTCTTTTAGGAAAATAAAGACAATAACATAATAACCCACATAGTTTCTATGCCAACGGTGCATTGTTAGTGTGTGAAACAAGGAAATACATATGGTGTTTCTTAAAGTGGCCGACTGGCTTTTAAAGTTGTTTCAGGTTTGAATATAAACCTAAGCAACGTCTGATGTATGGATGACAAGGCAATAAGCTAATACTTGTAAATATATCTGGGTGCAAAAGTAGGAGAATTCAATGCATTCAGGGCTCCTTTTAGGAGATGATCATAATTCTATTGAAGTTTTGCAAGTGTAGGAAAAGTTTGAAAAAGGTTAGCAACTCGAAAGAAAAATAATTTGTCAATATGGGAAAGATTAACTCATAAAAAATTGATTAGACATCATTTGATTAAAGTATAGACAGTTGATTAGACATCCCTCCCTACTTTATGTCTTCATTTCTTGTGCCTGATAATTTTTAAAAATATTTGAACAAAATAAGAAAGAACATTTTGTGGGAAGGCAATTACAACACAAAAGTTGTCTTAATATTGAAAAAAAGGAAGAGGTGTGTGTGTGTGTGAATGTGTGAGTTCTCTGTAGATGTTTGCTATGTAAATGGTTATGGATATAGAATCAAGAAGATGAAACTTCGTCGGGAAGGTTGTTAATGCAAATTATCGTATGCAGATGAACGTTGGTGCACAAAGGCTATTGTTTCCTCCTATAGATAAGGCTTCATCTGTAGAACTCAAAATTAAGGTCTATTTTAATAATTTTAGAGATGATAAGATAAAATCCTAGACTGGGCATACTCTTTTAGTCCATCTCCAACCCAAAACGAGACTTTACACCAAATCCTGTTTTGGTGTAAAATTTGGTGTTATGGGTCGGAGATGCCCTTATAGGAAATAATTTCTTCAGGTTTTCACTATTGTTACCACGTAGGAAGAATGGAGGATGGGACCTTAAACTCAAACTGCATTGCTTGGATTGGGGAAGTAAAATCAATCTTGTTAGAGATGCTGGAAAGGTAGAGTATATCACAGCGAAAACTGGGTACACTCCACGTAGGAAGAATGGGGGATGGGACCTTAAACTCAAACTGCATTGCTTGGATTGGGGAAGTAAAATCAATCTTATTAGGGATGCTGGAAAGGTAGAGTACATCACAGTGAAAAGTGGGTACACTACCTGAGGAGGTCAAGAGACTCTTAGATAAGGGTGTTAAGGGGCTGCAATAAGTTAAAAGATACTAATCTTTGTACTTACATTGTGCAGTTGCTTTGCGAAGGTGGGACATGTCTTTGAACTTCTTTTGGATGCTAAACAGGTTTAAGTTTGCATATCTAAGCTGGTATGTAAGAAAGATAGGAAAAGCTACCAAGAAGATCCGAAACACCATCCGTTACAATATTGTATGGAATTTGTGGAGGGAGAGAAATAATAGATGCTTCGAGTTCATAAATCTGAAGTCTAATTGTTTGCTGTCTTCAGTTTTTTGGCGTAAGATGAAACATTGAGACTTGTAATAGTGCAGATGAACTAATGAATTGTGTAAGCAACCTTCATTTTTTACAAGGACACAAGTAGGGATCTATTTTGTAAAAAGGGTTGTTCTGAAACATTTACTTGGTAATGATCCAAGTAAAATTGCGTATCTACACTTGTGAGGCCTACTTTTATCACTAAGCTGAGGCACTGCACAGAAGCCAAGGTATTGTGCTTTATCTCCGCAACTAACACATGTGGATAGAGAGTTGTTTGGAAGCATATATTTGAAAATTGAAGATGAGAGATTGGAGATACTCTCTGAAATCAGGGATGATAGTTTGGAGCTTTTAGGAGGCCTAGGTCTCCATCTGGAGTGATGTATGTATATGTGCCTCAACTAGATGTATGTTCCCAACTGTTCTACTACATGATCCATAGTACATCTTCGTCACTACCATATGTTTGTCCAGTCTTTTTCATTGTAGTAGAAAAGTAACCAGAGAAACTAATCACTAATTTATGCAAAAAAATTTTCTCAGAGGGGTGAGATTTGTGAGGTAGAGTCTACTTGATAAACTATCAGATGTGCTCATCTTTTGCAAGAAACTTCAGGAGGATTTGACTGATGAAATGGTCGTTTTGGCACGGCAGCTCAAAGAGAGCAGTCTCATGATGAATCAATCCATCAAAAACACCAAGAAAGTAAGTCTTTGTTTCGTTTCATTTTGCTTAAATTGTTGGGACTTTGGAACTTACTCTTAACAATTTTCGCTTTGAAAAATGATTTTGTGTCTCCAATGTAAACTATTTTGCTTGTTGGGAGGCAATTGAGGCCATTGGTAGCCTACACTATATTTTCTGACACAACAATATTGTATCTATTTATCTCTGATATTACTACATGTTTGAAGATTCTTTACTAATTCAGTGAAAAAAGAAATAACTGGACTTCTGATTCATCTTGTCTGGTTACAAACTCTTAACTTCAGTCTCGGATTTTACTAGTCTCTTTATAAATATTGTCCTCAAAGTTGACATCTATAACGTGGATGCAGATACTTGATTCAACTGAGAAAGCAGTTGAGCATAGCCTGGCAAGTACATGGCATGCAACTTCCAGAGCAATGGATATGTATTCGCGGAGTTTCAAGACAACTTGCTACCAATGGCTTTTGATCTTTGTCATGGTTGCATTACTTATTCGAGTGACTTTGCAGCCAACCCTTTGTGTAACTGAAGATATAATAGAACTCTTGTCTTTTTCTATCTTTGTATAGTATTTACTAGAAGATAACTCATTTGTAGGGACATGTTTAGAGGATAAAAAATTCTATAGATACTGAAAGAGAAATGTAGAACTTTTGCATTACTTTCCTTTCCTTGGTCTGTTTTGGTAGCGGTTGGGAGGCCAAAAATATTTTTTTTAAAGAAAAAAATACTCTTTTTTTTGTTCTCTGAGAAATGAGGTATAAAACTGTTTGTAAATAGAAGCAGAAATAGTTCTTATGCGAAGTAAAAGAATTATTTTTTTGAAGTCAACAATGTCATACCATTTATATACATTGACTATATATCTCTTATTAATTATTAGCATAACTCATTAGTTTTGTTCATTTATACGCATGTGTTTTATTTTACATTTTAAATATTATTATTCATAGTTTTACCTTTGCAGCTAACAAATTCTACTTATATTGTGGTGAATATTTCATACTGATTTAATTTGTGAAATAGTCTTAAATATTTTTTTGGTTGATATCTTTTGGTGTAGCTAAATCTTCATGTTAATAATATATCACTATTTAATTATTATTTATGTATTATAATGTATTGAAAATTTGAAATATACTTTTCAATTAATAAAAGTAAAATATTATTAAAGTCTTTTATAATAACTGTATAAATTAATTTTCTTTCAATAAAATAAATTTTATAGTAAAATTCTTATTTGTGATTTAACTTTTTAAAATAATATTAGTTAAACATAATATGTTTATCAAAAGTATTTTTAAAATAAATTAATCAAATGCAAATACTCATAATGAGGAATTTTTAATTACTTTGGACAAAAGAGCTCTTAAGTACTGATTTTTTTTTCAAAAATTTATTATATAGAAAGTATTTTTTCAATGAAAATTGGATACTAAATTTTAAAAAGTTAATTTTAGGAAGAAATTGTTAGTCAACAAATGTAATTGCGTTCTGGGTTCACATAAATCCTGAAGCAAAAATTGAACGAACACATAGAGGCATAGAAGAGAGGAAGTTCAGTTGAGTGTCCTTCTTCTTCCTTTTCCTTGTAATTTCCTAATCTGAACCCTAAGCAATCGCAAAATGTCAATCACGACCAAATAATCACTTCCGTTTGTGATCAATCACCAGTGAAAACAACAAGAATATGAACCGCAAATTGGTGAGCTTCCTTCTCATCTTTGATTTATCTTATGGGTTTAGTAAGATTCTTTCTTTTTACCATATCGCATCTGGGTCCTCTTCAATTTTTCCGAATCATAGCTCTTTTTTTCCTGTTTTATAGTAATATTTTGGTTTTGGGTAAAGTTCCTCAATTTCAATGATAATGCCCTTTGTTATAAAAATTAGGTATGGTTTTTTTTTTCTCTCTCTCAAAATTTGGCCTTGTTGATAAATTTTATTTATTTCTACTCTAATATGTGATACTGGGTAACTATTGTTCTGGACTTAAGTAGTTCACGAAAACTAAATCCTGTGAATTTCAGATAGATTTAGTGCTTTACCATATACTGTCACTTTACTGGTTGTATGTTACTGTTTTTTGTTTTTTTCACATTGACATTTTCACAAATATCTCTGAGTCATCATTGATTCCACCATTTTCACCCATCATCGATTCCAAGATTTTCAGTCCCCATGTTGTTTGAGCTAAATAATTTGCCGATTCAAGAGTTTGTACAGAGAGATTTTTGAACTTCTTCTGCTGGGTCCTTACAAAGGTTGAAAATTCGTGTTTTTGAAGTTTGAATTTTGATTGTATGCACTTTTTTTTTGCTACAAAACTTATTTGAAAATTCTTCTTGTGGGTTAAGAAATGAAGTTGGAACTCATTCAAGATCTTGGTTATAGAATTATAGCAGTTGGTTCCTTTAACATTCGAAGTTGCGGTTGATTCCTTTTTTGGAACTGGGACTTTTTGTGTTGAGTTCGATTGCTGTTACTGATTGGAAGCTTGAAAACCAGATTGAAACAGTGGATCAATACCTTGGTTTGAAAATTTGAGTTGAACCACCATAGAAGAAGGGTGGGATTTGTTTGTCTTGGGGAAGGAGATTGCTTTTTTTGTTAGATAAGATACTATAAGTGGTCCATGCACCCGCCCTTTTTCGGTGTGGAATATGCACTTGCTACGTAATTAAAGAGGTGTTTATTAGACACATGTTTGGTTGGTGTGTAAAAGTTCATGTGGAACTCGGATGTGTAAAAGGGATTTGGCTAAAAGCCGAGGGGTTAACTATGTAGAGGCAATGCATGCGTGTTGTAAAATTACATCAATAAAATCTTGTATGATAATTATTCGCTGTGTTTTGTTTGTGAACCTAGTCTAATTTGTGATTTGGAAACTTGGTATCTCAGTCATAGGAAGGAAGCAGATACATGGGAATTTCGGCTGCAAGCTCTGTTAGTGAAGTTATGAAATTGTGCATATTTGATTTGAGAAGGGGTCAACATGAAGGGCAGGAGTTGGACAAGATTTTATATTTCTTTCCTGCTGATTTGCCTTTCCCCACCCAACTCTCTGTGATAGGGCTTAGTGAAGGACTCATAACATTCACCAGGTTTGTTGTAACTGGCACTCACATATCTACACTTGTATCTATTAGTGAGTAGAAATTCATGTGGCTCTTTACCCATCAAAAATAAATAAATAAAAAATTCGTGTGGTTCTTTACCCATCAAAAATAAATAATAAATAAAAGATTCATGTTGTTCTTCGAAAAACTCTTGCTTAAAGATGGGATATCTCGATTGGTTGCTCTGATTTTATATTTTTACATTACTTCTTTAATGCTGTTTCGATAGCTGATCTGCAATGTGATTTTAAATCTGTATTCCTGGATATAGCTTCAGTTCTTAGCTTTAGGGATATGTTTTCAATTGTTCATCTCCTTTCATTAATAGTCATTCTTATCCAAAGGATTCTTCAGCCATATCATTAAGTAGAAAGATAGCTGTGCTCATGTATTCTCATATTAGAGACATTAAAGATGTTTTAAAAATAGAGCTTGATGATTGTTCCTAAATTGAAATTAATTTTCTTAATGAAGAGCAATGGGATTCTGACGTGGCTGGGTTATTTTAAGACCAAGAGTAGTTCTTCATCTTATATTTATCTTCATTTTCTTGCTCTGTAAGGTAGATATTCATTGAATGTGAACTAAGCCATCTGGATGCTGTTGTCAACTTCTTGCAGTTGTATGCTAGATGGCTCTTCTATGTGATATGATTATCTTTTTTATATTTTTTTCATTCTGTGCAGAATATTCTCTCCAGAGGCTCCATGTGAGGTTATAGAAGCAGAGATGCACTCCCATGTTTTCTATGAGGCAGAGCGTGATATCTGGATGGTGATGGTATGGCCTCTTGCACTCATAATCATTCTTTTTATTCAATTAGTGAACTTTTCTGGCATTTCATGTTACCTGTCATGGTTAAATTGTAAAGAATTTTTTGGTGAACTGGATGAAGGAAAGTTCTGCCAACTATCAGATTAAATAATTACATGCGGTGATCACTGATTATCTGAACTGGTTTTGAGAGATTATATGATGTTGGGCTGTCCTTCTACCTGCTACAATTTGAAAGTATGATCACTATGGAGGCTGGCTATAATCTCATTGATGTAAGCTTTGTTGGATATAAGTGGATATATAACTCACAAATTTCATAGATCTGATGCTACATCCTGCACCATCAGATTTATATAGCATCAGATTTGACATCTGTCAATGCGAACCGAAATTTACTTTTGAATTTGAATAATTGAAAAGGCTTGTTAGAATCTGAATATATAGTGGAAACAAGTCCCGCTCTTATTATTTTCTGAAGTACCATCTTGGTACTGTTTCTAAATAAAAATTTACTTCATCCAACGAAAAAAGTAAAAAAATCTGCCAGTACATCCTGACTTGCTTCTCGGTGTTGTCCTTGTTATACTTGAATAATTTTACTTATGAACAGTTCCAAGACTGTCACATGCAGTGAACTGAAGTCTAGAAGATTGAGGACTAGATTAGGGAGGAGGAAAAGAGAACTAGAGAAGTGGTAACTCAAAAGGAAATTTTGTTCCACAATACTTCTGGTTGAAGTCTAAATAAACTGCCAAACATTATAGTTGCAAAACTTCCGTACCGACCATGGCAGGTCCCTACTTCTTGGTGTGCTCAGACATGTCATAAACGGTCTAAGAATGGACTAAGGTTGGTCTCGTGCTGGACATAGACATAATAACCTTGAGAGAAACCAGTGCTTTATGGAGTTTATCAATATTTTCTATGCTGTCTATGAGTATAATATCTCTAAAATCATCAGGTGCTTAATGCAATACTATGATTTGTATATGCAGTTGGCTGTGAAATAGATTTCCCAGAAATTCTTTAATAAAATTTGACTGGACAAGATGGAATGAATTAAGCATGACTATAATTTCTTGTTGGTGAAAAGATGAGTTATGACTTACCTCTTTTTGATAAGGAAGCTAAGTATGACTTTTTTATGAAAACAAGAAAGGCTTAATGCACACATCTTTTGGACTAACTCAAATTTCCTCATGTTTTATTTTTATAGCAGAAGAAATTTATTATGTTTTATGACGCTTCTGTTATATATTTACTTTTCTGGTGGTATTAGGTGGTGGAAAAAAGTGAGTCAGAAGCCATATGGCGGACTGCTGCTTTACGAGATGTTCTTAAAGAAGTTCACTCTCTCTTTGTGATGTTTCATGGGTCCATAAGAGCATTACTTGATAGAGAACCAAGTGGAGGGCTTACCCGGACGCATTTGTATTATTTCATCATGGATTATTTAAGTGGTGAGGCATCATTAGCTACCTTGAAAATATGCATTTTATCACTTTTATAAGAAAATATTCCTCTTCAAGTTATTTCATTGCAAGCCATGATTGTCAGCATTTGAAAAGCGGCCTTCATTGGAATTTAGCTGCTGGGGTAATACTGTAGCTTCTGTATCTAATAAGTTCATTTCAGTTTGTGCAATTTGAACATTAGATTGCATCTTGAATGCTTTGCCTATTAATTTTCCTCTGTGGCAGATTTTCTTTCTGGGAAGAAGCTTCACTTGCCAAATTTCCGTGACTCTTTGAAGGAGCGTGGAATGGTACAGATGTTGACTATTGGGAGGGAGGCAGCACTTGAAGTTCAGGTTTGTCTTGTCAGTTTATTGATTACACTGAAGGCCTGTCCATACTGGGACGAATAGATAAATCATAAATCTGTGGATTTATTTGTTTTGCTCGATTTATTCATTATATTGCTCAGTTCT